AGTAGATAATTCTCCCAGTAGTGTCGTAAAAAGATTGAGGGAACCTCTGTATAATTCAGGAAGAAATCTAACAGTGGATAACTGGTACACTTCTTATCCACTTTCAAAAGAACTTTTGAAAAAAATATAGCGATTGTTGGAACATTGAGGAAAAAATAAGAAAGAAATTCCTCCAATATTCTTGAGTACAAAAAAAAAAGGGACGTTTACTCTTCCATGTTTGGATTTCAGAAAGAAATGACTATTGTTTCGTATGTACCAAAGAAGAGTAAAAATGTTCTTCTGCTGTCAACAATGCATAACGATAATGCAATAGACATCACTACTGGAGAATCAAAGAAACCCGAAATAATAACTTTCTATAATATAACGAAAGGAGCTGTCGATGTCGTCGACGAAATGGCTGCAACGTATTCAACAACTAAAAAAACAAATCGATGGCCTATGACGATATTTTATGCAATGTTGAATGTAGCTGCTATAAATGCACGCGTTATTTTGCTATCCACTAAGGAACCACCGACTCAGAATCGAACACGACGTTCTTTTCTGAAAAGTTTGGGATTTAAACTAATCGAAGACTACAAAAAGATCAGAAGCCAGCAAACAATGCTCCCGCAAAGTTTGAAAGTAAAACTGGTAAAGAATGAGGACTCTCAACCATCTGCTAAGAAGGCAAAAGTAATAATTAAAAGATGTGCTGAATGTGGATCTAAAAGGAACAGAAAAACAAAATATATTTGTGAAAAATGTCAAAAACATGTGTGTATGGAACACATGGCATGTATTTGCAGGAAATGTACAGAATAATTGTAAGTAATATTTGAAATATATGTTTAAAACTGTTTCGACTTTTATCTTTTTCTTCTGTTTTATGTTTTGTGTAAATTTTATAGTAGAAAATATGAAGAAACTACCCTGGGTATGACACACCCAGCGCGTGTAATGCCGTTCGGTTTTCTCGCGCGTGTAATGCCGAGTTAATAAATTACATAGTTATTTCGCTTCTGCTAAGAACTGTTTTGTAATTTGCACTTTATAGCATTATACCTTGTTTAATATCCAGATTCAAATATTGTATAATAGGTGGCCAAAATGAAACTTGTATGACAGTGAAAAATAACAATGTTTTATTTTAATGTTATGTTTTTAATATAATTTCTATATATTATTATGTTAATGAAATTTATCAATGTTGCAATGTTTTAAAAAAAACGTCAAAAAATTCCCAGATTTCGGATCTTAAAATTTTTCTATACGAACTGATCTTAAAAGCACCAAAATGTTGATAAGTCTCCAAATTTAGAACTGTTTAATAAAAGAATTCCCATCCCCAAAAGGAAAAAGATGTTTAAGAGCTCTTCATTTGAAAAAATAAAATAATTTCGAAATGCTTACATATTACTTTTGCTCAGTCCCATGATTTATATTACAAATAGGAACAAATTATAACCCATGAACCCATTCAAAAGATAACCATACTTGTCAGTGAATCGCCAAAAATATTCCTACAAAATGCTAGTTCTAACTCAAAATAGCAGTCGTAAAAACAGATAGAAATTTCAGATGATTAAGGAAATTCTGCCGTTTTGGGCTGACTTTTAAGAAACAAAAATCGGTCTCAAAATTCCTAAGGACTTTTAAGGACTCTTGAGGACCATACGAACCCTGTTTTTCTTATGTCATATACAGTTGACTTTCCAATGCCATACTCCTCGCATTATTTTGAGATGTATATGCCTTTATCCATTTTTTTGCAGTAATTCCACTTTTTGTTTAATGGACATCAAAACATGCTTTCGCTTTGCAGATCCAGAATTGGAAACTCTTTTCGACATAATCGAAAATTCAAACTTAATTTTTATAAAATTGCTCTAATAACAACAATCTGAAAAAAAATAATAAGCTGGATCAGAAACGATTAAGGAACAGCACAATCTGCTACATTAATTGAAATGCCTTAGAATCAGTAAAGATAATTTTAACCTAGCTTAATAGCATCCGTTATACATTATTGGCTGTGTATCACAAGATTGGCGACGAAAGCCAAGTTACTCCGCTAAATTTTGTCTTGCTCCTGTTGCATAATGAATTAAGCCTGAATTGTATTAGTTTAGTTATTTACTATACTTAAAACTAATCCGAGTCCTGAATAAATAAACTCCCACATATATTATCTAGGGCTGGTGCTAGATACCGCCCGGTGCAGTCTCTGCGGGTCCTAAATTCTGCTACAAAGTGCCTGCCTAAGTTCTAAATTTTCGCCACACCTAAACTTTGGATCTCAGTGCTTTCCCTAAATTAAATTCTGCCATCTGGTGCCGACATATTCTGCCTCCGCTTCTGGATTTATGGTGAATAACATGTCAATTATTCTTAATTAAAACAGCACTAAATGTAATCTTTTGGCATACGAGTTTCATTAACAAAATCTATTTTTAGCATATGAAAAGAAATTTTTGTTAATTTTTTTTTTCATCAACATTTCTTAGAGCATTTAAAAATCTATAATCATTGCCAAACATGTTAGAATAAAAGGTTGTCATATTCTTGTTATTAAATTACTAATATGAAAAAAAAAATTTAGACATCACTGCATGAGTTATTACTGAAGCTGTCATGTATTGATAAACATGAGGTGAAGACAGCCAAATATAATAAATAATGACTCGCCACGGATATAAAATAGGTGAATGTTTCGGTTTGAGATACCGTATTTGACGGCATATAAGACGCACTTTTTTTCCTAAATTTGGTCTCAAAAAAGTTACCTGCATCTTATACATGAAGGGCACATGCTAACTTTCAATACTTAATGCTATTTTTAGGCCGGATAAAGGTCTAAAACACATAACTTTTTCTACATCTGCCATAATTATTTTGTGCTTGCGTGAAATATGTCGCCAAAAAGCGCCAAAGCTCGAAGCTGATGTTGAAGTTCGATCAGGTTCGATGGTCACATTACGTCTATGGAGCGTTTCCTTCTTTACATAGACTTTCTTTGACTCAGCCGACACACGTATCGGTGCTACTCTGTATAAACGTGTCGGTATTGGTGCTTAAAACTATTTGTTTAAAAAAAATAATCTGGAAAATATGACTACAGGAAACAAGAGATTAAGCTATACGATTCAGTATAAACTAGGAGTGTTAAACTACACCAAAGTGCATGGAAACAGGGCAGCAGCAAGGCATTTCGGTCCACCACCTACCGAAGAAATGATACGTACTTAGCGACTGCAAGAAGATCAACTGAAGACTTCTAAAAAACAAAAACATAACCTTCGATGCCCAGCTTCATCTTGGCCTGACCTTGAAAATGGCGTAAAAATGTGGGTGATAGATAAGAGGAAATCTGAGATAAGTGTTTCAACCAAAATGATAATCAATGAGGCCACATGATTTGCAGTAAAACATGGGAATCAGAACTTTTCAGGGTCTGAGGGCTGGTGCTACAGGTTCATGAAAAGGCAAGGCTTATTAATGTGCACAAAAACAACTATTGAACAGAAAAATACCAGCAGATTATGAAGAAAAAATACAAGCATTTCATAGGTTTGTTATAAATGCACGCAAGAAAACTTCTTTTGAGCTCGGTCAAATAGGAAATATGGATGAAATTCCACTCGCATTTGATGTACACTCCAACAAGACTGTGAGTGTTAAAGGGTCTAAATCAACAACCATAAAAACCGCAGGTCATGAAAATGACCCGATATACGGCTGTTCTAACACGTTGTGCTGATGGCACAAAACTACCGCCGTTTTTCATATTCAAAAGAAAAACTCATCTGAAAGAAAAACTTTCAACGGGTGTAATTGTTCATGCTCATCCGAAAGGTTGGATGGACAAAGCTGGAATGAAACTGTGGTTACAGAACGTATGGGCGAGGCTACCTGGTGAACTCTTAAGAAAACCCTCTCTTTTGGTTTTGGATCAGTTTAGCGCCCATAGAACTGAAACCATAAAGAATAAAGCGAGAGAATTAAAAACCCAGTAGCTGTCATTCCTGGTGGACTGCGAGTGGGTAAAAAGATCTTGGGAGGACGTAAAGGCTGAAGTAATTGTTAAGTCCTTTAAGAAGTGCGGAAACAGTAATGCTCTTGATGGAACAGAAGACAACGCATTATTCGAAGAAGGTGATACTAGCGATGACGGAAACAATAGTGATGACGATATTCTCATTTTCGATGATGATGATAGTGAAAAGGATTTTAATGTTTTGAAAGTGATTAAAGTCTAATTTCATGATAGGCAACGTTTTCCTTGAATCTGTGTTTTTTGTTGTTTCTGCTTTATTATGTTTGATTGCATGCCGTTTATTCATTACTCAAATTTACATATCATGTTCAAAATAGCTTGCCGTTTGTTAATTTTCCTTAATAAAAATATGGTAATTGCATTCAATAATTGTTTATGTGGCTTTTATTGAAACGTAATAACTAAAAGAAACCACATTTTAAGTTATTGTGGTACTGCGCTATCGCGCGAACTACTGAAAATTCTTTTCCTTGTGTGTGGCCTTCTAGTAAATAAGGGTGCGTCTTATATGCCGTTAAATACGGTATATGCCAAGTAGATACTCAGCTACGGAGCCAAATTATTAATATCACAAATTTATGCTTACATGATGTTTTTCCATAATGATGTATTTTATTTAGTGCCTAAGTGAAATTACGAATCAGAAATTTCCACATGTTTCATTATGGAAGGAAAAATCAAATGCGCATGCATAAAGCCAACAACAAGAAGAAAAAAAAAAGAAGAAGGGGGGGAGAAGTCTGTGGCTTTGAGGTCCGGATTTTAGATCATTCCGGATAATGGATGTCAGGATTTCGGACTTTGTACTGTATATTAAAATTATGTTATTTATGTATTATCTTTATATATAAATAAGGTAGTACAGCTGAAACATAATTCTATATTTGTCTCTTAAAGTAACATTTTTATTTCAATAAAATGTTTCTAGATTCCAAGATAAATTCAGCATGTTTCATACCGCTTTTCAGGGTCCAAATCACAGCAAAGGAAGGCAATGTTGTAAAAAGTTTCAGGACAAGTGGCACAAAATTTTTCTTTAAAAACTACAGTATTAAGTCCAAAATCTGGACTTCTAGGTAAGTAATCAGGATCTGCCAAAACTCTTCCAATTATCTGAAAAAATAAAATAATTATAACACACACCACTGTTTAAACTCATTTGAGAGTAGTATAATAATATGGAAATTTACATCACAACACTTTTTAAGTATTGGTTTTAAATATTATTATAATGTTTTAGCTTTGAACAATTAGTCATTTTGTATCACTGCAAGGAAAAAAACCTAAATAAAATTTCTCAGATCTTAATTATTATTAAAACTTAGCTTCTAGCTTAATCTTAAAATTTTGTTCATCTGGCATAATTGATGTAATATGTGCATTATAATTCTCTTAAACTGCATATGTTTTAACAGTTTAAGAGAATTTTCTTAATTAACTAATGAAATAGAAAATAAGAATAGTAAAATGAAATAGTAAAAATAAGAATAAAAACAAAAAGCAAAATCTTTTATACCTTAATATGCAATTTAAATTTCACTCTTAACTAAATTAAATTTCAATTAGATTAAAACTATTAGAAATTTTAGTCCTGTGCAAGGCAGCAGAAATTTTACTGTATTTTAATTTTTATTTAAATCCTCTACACCTTAGAGTCCAACACTGAAAAAGAACAAAAAGTTTACCTCACATAAAACAATGCCAAAGGAGAATATATCAACTTTTTCATCATATTTCTTGCCTTTCATCATCTCAGGTGCCATCCAGTATGGGTTCCCTACAACAGTGTATCTCTTCTTCCTTTCATACTTTTTGGGAGTGTTTCTTTTTCCATACCGCCGGGAAGAATGATGAATATTCTGATCTGAAATAATCCGAGCTAAACCAAAGTCAGCAACAACAGCTGTTTTATCCTTTTGAAAGAAAAACATTTTAAATTCAGAATAATGATTTTTGAAGGAAAAAGAAAGCATAAAATGTGGTGATGATTAATAAAAGTAGCAACATTAAACAGATCAGCTTCACAATATAAATTGTGCATTTTAATTATTTAAAACTGAACACAAAATTTTGACTTCAAATATGTTACACTATCAAATAAAAAATACCTTAAATTCAGAATGCAAATAATATTGCTTTACTTTACGAATGGCAAACATTTTTTAAAAATTGGATTTCTTATTTACTAGTTCAAACATACTTAAGCACATACAGTTCTGTATTACAGTTCTGTAAAATATGTATACATACAGTTCTGTAATATATGTATTTAAACAAATACATACAATTTTACTGCTAGATATATTTGAAGATATCACTAATATAAAAAAGCAAAGCAGTTCCATATAGTTAACTTAAATATCAAAAGTGCAGTAATACGTAATAAATATACAACAGATAATTATAAACGTTCAAACAGAAAAACTACATACAGAACATAAAAACAGCACCAAAATCTTAGCCGCAGAACAATCACTTACAGATTTTGGAAATGTGATTTTTAGTTATTATATAAGGATATATTCTTTAGTTTAGTGAAACATTAAATAATAAGTGTCACTTGTTAGTGAAACAAAATAACACATGACCTTTGCTTAAACCTGGTAATTTTCAACCCACTTCAGCAACCTTCTAATCAAATTATCACCAGTCAATAAATAAATAAAAATCGGTGAAATGTTTTGTTTCATTGCAAAATGTTTATTGAAAAACATTGTGCTCCTGCCATAGCTCAGCCATAGAAAAGACAAAATATTATAATTCCAAATTTAGATAAATTAATATATAGTAAAATTTTTAAGTAAAACATATTAGGAATGTCTACAGAAAGTTCCAAGTTCTATTCTGATTAGCATTTAATAAAAATAGTGGGTTATAATACATTTCTTTAAAACTTAATAAAGCAATAAATAAAATAGCATATTAATTTTAACAGATGGACCATCTCAGACAGCATGCTGGAAATCAGACTGCCAGTTTGAAATTAAGCACATGAATTCAATTCTTACTATGATCTAGTTGTTTATGTATTGCCTTTTTCCTTTCTTGAAAATGAAATAAATGTTGAAAATAGCTTTATCTGATCACTACCAAAACTATAGTTCTCTCTCTCTCTCACACACACGCACACATATCACGTTCTTCACACTTAAACCATAAAATTCAGTTCAACAGTAATATCACAAAATAGTTTTAAAATGAGCATATCCTTTAGAATTTCCGATACAGAGACTCACGCATTGGAGATAAAAATGTTTTTTCTGTACAATGTTGCCATTGCTCGCTTTGAAATCCTTGAGTTTATTAATAAAAATTCGTTAAAGTTTCTTAAAATAGGAAATCGATAATAAAATAAATTTCAAATTTGGTCTCCCACATGCCCATATTCGTAGGAGAATTACATCATTCAAAATTCAATGGCTCTACATACTGCTGTTTTATCACAATGCGAGAAATATACATATATTTATGCAGATTTTTCATTATTTAATTTCTTTAAATATAACACAGGGTGATAATACTTTGTGGCAACAGTTTGAAAAGTGATTCGCCGTTTGAAGTGAATTGACGCAAAATCGCAAAACAAAAACAATAGGAAGTAACAAAGCCTTCAGGAACAAAGCACCTTTGGACTATGAAGATACTATAACAGATCAGGAGTAAAAGCCTCAATTTTTTTCATAAATGTAAAATTTTGGGTAATTACTGAGGTTTTTCTCAGAATAAAAATAAAAACAAAAGGCACAATCTTTCATATCTGAATATGCAATTTAATATTATTTATTCTCAGTTACAAAATTAATTTCAATTGTTAACTGTTAATACATCTTTTTAATGAAGATCTGGCTGATCCTCATTAAAAAGATGTATCAACAGCCCTCAATTTACTTGAGAACTCCCACATTTATTTTCTTTCTCTGAATAGATTAAATACTCCCATTTGTGATTGAAACCAATTTACAGGATTTTAAGCAATATTCAATTTGCAATAAGACTAAAACTCCATTAAAAAGGCAGATATCAATAATATTTAGTTAAAAAAATTCTTACCTCTTTAACAAGGCAATTGTTTGAATTCAAATCTCGATGAATTATATTCATAGAATGAAGATATGCCTGAAAAATTGTACATCTTAAAAAATTACATGCAACTTAATACATATAACTGATAGTAAAAACAACATTTTTATATAATAATTATTATTGAAATGTTATTTAATAGTTAATAAATATGGTTTTTAATTTTAAAATCTACCTAAGAAAAAACTCATTGCTTTGCAATTTCTAAAGTGAATCTACCTTACACGTTGTTTCCATTTATCTGAGCTGCATATTTATTACATTATTCTTGCTTTTAGGTTTTATGCATTATTTAGTAATATTTAATGTGTTTCTTCTTCCAGTAATTTGGGAATAAAAAAAAATGATATTAATTAATGCTAAATGTTTCTCTATTTTATTCCATTTCAGATTACGTCATGCTTTACAAATTAACTCGTGCCATTAATATCTTAACTCTACAACATGGGATAATAATTTTTGATGCCTATCACTACAAACCGGAGAGAGTTATACAGTCTAATAAATTTAAACATACAGTAGAAGCTACACTGCTGGACATTAAAATGGCAACACCATGAAGGAAAGTAAATATAAAAAAGATATTTATTGCACATAAACAGTATGGCCTGAAGGCAAAATGATTAAACTTGTAGGCATTTTTGGAAGTTTACAGGGCTGTGAAATTAACACACCGATCAAGAAGTCCTGGAACTAACATTTGTTTCACAAAATTCATGTTTATTCATCAACATAATCACCGTCAAGAGCTATACAATCATTCCAATGCTTTTCTAACTTTTCGCTACCATGCTTATAAAACAATTTGTCCTTGTACGCAAAATAAGCTTCAGTGGCAGCGGTGACTTCCTCATTGAAGCCAAATCCTTTTCCCTGGAGCATCTTTTTGAGATCAGCAAAGAGCCAGTAGTCGCTGGAGGCTAGATTTGGAGAGTATGGTGGGTGAGGAAGCAGAGTGAAGCCCAACTTGTTCAATATAACCAATGTTTGCATTGACTTGTGGCACGAGGCATTGTCTTGATGGAAGATGATTTTTTCCTTCTTCATGCGAGGTAGTTTTCTTGCGATTGCATCCTTCAAATACACTAGTAACTCACTGTAATATTGATCGATTTTCCCTTTTCAAGGTAGTCGATGTAAATTATACCTTGCGCATCCCAAAACACTGATGCCATGACTTTGCCAGCTAACTGTTTCATTTTTGGACACTTCGGATGGCTTTCATCGGCTACACCCCACTCAGCTGACTGCCGCTTCAACTCTGGAGTGAAATAGTGGATCCATGTTTCATCAATTGTCATATGCTAATGCAAGAAATCTGCGAGTAAACAGTGACAAACAGCTCTGTAAATTGTTGACTTGTTGCTTTTGTTCGATTGTGAGCTCACGCAGCACCCATTTGGAAAATACTTTTTTCATGCCCAACTTTTTGTGCAAAATTGTACATGCATTTCCAGTTGATACATTTACCATCTCAGCAATCTCACGAACTTTCACTTTGCAGTCATTCAGCATGATTTTCAACTCTTCTTTCACATTTTTTAGAGTGACTGCTTCATTTGGCCTACCAGAGAGTGCTGCATCATTTGTGACCGTGCTTGAAATCAGCATACCACCGGCAAATGGTTGCTTTTATGGACCAGAGTCTGGATAATATTTTAAGCCACTGCTAAGCATGCACGGTATTTTTCCATTAAATAGCGATGTTTGATCAACACACGAAATTCGTTTTTGTCCATTTTGTCCACAAACAAGTTTTCACCACAGCAGCTTCGCTGTTTCTGATCCGATTGCCATGAAAATCAGATATATGTTATTTGAAGGTTAGTCCTTTCAAACAACGAAGTCAAGTTGATAATACTAACACCATCTGTTGTTTAGTCCCCGGACTTATTGAACGATATGTTAGTAGAAACGTTTGCCACCACTGGCAGCTAAAACGGCCCTTACTCCATTAGGCATGTCAAACTAGGCTTGGATGACAGAAATGGGCAACTCCTTCCATGCTGCTTCAAGTCTATGCCACATTTCATCATCCGTATTAGCCGGAGAGGGGTGACGGGCCATATCTCAGCAAACCATGACCAGATGTTTTCAATGGGTGACAGATGTGGAGACTGTGCAGACTAGGGAAGAAATGAATACCCTGTGTATCGAGGAAGGTCAGAACACGATGTGCAACACATGGTCTTCTTGTTGGAACATGGCATTTGGGGGCTTCGAAGATAGGACACAACCACTGGATGTAAAGTATCAGAAATGTACTCATCTTCATACAAATTACCTTCGGTTCAAACTAGAGATTTCTGTGTCGTGTACCCAATGGCTGCCCAAACCATCACACCAGGTACAGGGCCCCTATGCCAATATCAAATGCAAGCAGGGGATGTGTGGTCCCCTCAGACAATCCAAATATGTATATGGCCATCAGAATACTGTACACAGAACCGGGACTGTTTGAAAAGATGACATTATGCCACTCCTGTACCCAGCTTTGTCATCTGGTGCACCAGCATCGCCATCTCTCTCTATGCTGCATTGTCAAGAGAACTCAAAGTAATGGTCACCCTGCTGATTGACCACGCTGATGCAAACGTCGACACACCTTACGAGCTGATACTGAGCATGCTGCAAACATGCCCATTTCCTGACTTATGGTCTGTGATGTGATCATACAATTTTACAGGGCTGACCTCACAAAGTATCTGTTCTCTCTGGCATTAGTCATGGGAGGGTGTTGTCGAAGCATAACACGATACTCTGAGCAAACTCTAACCTTACGATGCACTTTCTGAATGAGAAGTCCACTACACAACTTTTCTTTTATGCAGTGCTTCAGATGTCATTTCTTTCTCCTGCGTAGTCTGTATGTGCTGAAATACTAATCATTTGCATATCCCAACTTTTTCTTCCTTTGAATTTTGATGTTTCTCAGATCATTCCTTCTTGATGTTGCAATTTTAATGGCCAGCAGTGTATTACAGTTCAACCCCTTCATGACGGGGTATCATACTATATGCAGCAGTATTTCATCCTCTTATGTGACAGCATGCCACTCAGCGCAACTCACCTTGAAGATGCTATTGATCTAGAAATATGGTTAAGCCATACTTAAAAATTGTTTTGATTTTTTCCTGCAATAGGATTTAAGAGTAATATAATCATAAATATAAAACATCAAGACATTCTGAAAACATTTTAATTAAAAGCTAAATTCAAAATCAAATATTTAACTCATCTTAATTAACTGTTGTACAAAACTTATTTAAATCTATATCTAAATGTATATAAAATAATAAAATATATGATTAAATATTACAGTATAAATGATTCAGAAAGGAAACAGTGTGAGATAGTTGCTAACATTTCATTAGTTGTGAAATATATTTTGAGATCAGACTTTTTAATTATTCCTGGTAGAATAATTAATCTTAGGAATTCCTTCATTTTAGGCACATCTACAAAAGTAAATGCTGTTGATTTTGGATAAAATGGATTTGCACTCATCTTTTGTTTAGAGAAATTATGTCTTTTTAATTATTATGTTCAGTAGATCATCATCGAAAAAAGTGAAAAAACTCAATCTCATTCATATAACTTTGAATCAGATTTACTCCTGCTGCTTCTATAAATTCATAAGGCATCAATTTCTTAACAGATCAAGTTCCTGATGGAGTATCCACTGTTGTGCTGGATTGTAAGGGGAAAGCAAAACAAGCTCCCAATTCAGTCTCTGACAAAATTTTAGTATCCAAATCATTACCCTCACTTAACCCGTTCAATAGGGGCATGTCATATGTGCATCAGCAGCGAACATTACCTCACGGCCGGGTGTGTCATATTTGAATCGCCATTTAATTCACTCTACCGGCTGGGTGTACCACATTTGACTTTTTAGATAGCACTTTTAATTAATACTTTTTGTTGTCACTAGATGTAGCTATATGCCTCTTATGGGGAAATATATCGAAAGTTAAGTATATTTACCTTCATTCCTATGCAATGATTTTTATTTTTGGTATTTTGTTTCGGAATGAGAGTGAAGTTCGTGGGTGGGTGTTGAGCAATGTAATGTCTCTTTAACTGTGCCATTTGATATAAACAAATGCATGTGCTCTCGCTGTATTGACGTACTTTTTATTTTTATTTTTGCGATATAGAGGGATACACGTTCTAGCATTAGAGATTTTTTTTATTACTCATTTTTTTCCTTTTTTTTTTTTATTTTATTTTATTTTTTTTATTACTCTTAGACTTTTCATGCTTTGAGATGAATATTTTTAATTGTCAGCAAAACGTATCTTTTTTTAATGGCAAACGAAAGCAGTACCTAAACGTAGAATATACACAATCGCTAATTCGTTAGTGTTGAGTAATGCAATGGCTCTTACTGCATCATTTTATATAAACAAATGAACATGCTCTGGATGCTCTAGAATACTTTTAATTTAATTTATTATTTTTTCTTATTTTTATTTTATTTTTTTATTGGTTATAGTGGAGTAGACGTTCTATAATTAGAGACTTTTTTAATTACTCTTTGAGATTTCCGGCATTCAGACGAATATTTTGTATCGCTTAGCGAGAGTTTTTTTTTTTTTTTAATGGCAAAACAAAAGCACTATCTGACTGTAGAAAATACACTAATGCTAAATGAGTCAAATTTGCTGAGTAAAATAGCAGCAGATATTATATTCCTGTGACTAATGCAATGTTGGTTGGACATTTGCGTACACTCACGTTTCAAAGAATATCATACACTGTCTCATTTTGAAACATTGCTTACTTTTTGTTGTTTGCTCATTGACAGTTTTAATATTTTTTAATTTTAATTGTGTGTTGTGTTAAATAAAATCTGCGATTGTTTGGATATTTTTCCATATACATTTATTTGTGGGATAAGGGGAAAATTATGCTATTCTAGAATGAGTATTTTATAAAATTTTTAAGGAAAATATAATAATAAAGACCTAAAATTAATTCTGACGACTACCTGAATATTCTTCTCATAATGTACCCCAAATTGTAAAAATTGGATGACAAATTTAATTTATACGAATTTTTTTCCAAAGTTAGGCTTAGAAGGGTAAATTGCCCGTCCCCACAGGACGACGCATCCTGTTAATGCGCCGCTCCAAGAGAACGCTTCGGTAACAGAGGTGCCTGTCGCAAACGGGTTAAGTCTTAGAAAAGTTTTAGTGTCAAAATAGTCACTCATGAGTTCATTTACCATCGGATATACTCTTCTTCCATTAAAAATTTCTTTCTCTTAGACATCACAATATTAGTTTAACTCTCTTAATCAGGGTAAAAACTTACATCTACTATCTAAAGAAGATGTAAACTGAATAAAAATATGAGTTTCTAAAACCACAGCTCCACTCCCCATCTTCTCATAAGAGAAAAGACAAAAAAGAAATTTGAAGCATCGAAAATTGTCCAATATTTATATCACATAAAGATTCAGCAGCGCATCAGCTGGGTTTTGTTTACTTTATATCTGCCACTCATACACCTAAATGAATCATCAAAGTACTTTATGGAGACAGAGTCAACAATGTATATATTCAAATAAGCTAACTATAGTGGACACAAAGTGCCACCCAGTGATTTAAAAAATTCTAAAAGAATGTGTATGTTTGAAAGTGGATATATGATACAACCATCTAGTAGATAAATGCAAGCAGTGATGCACCAGTGCATAATCTGGCTGCTAGTGACATTTGGGACATTTTGCGTTCATTTGGGATGCTTATGACATACCTGTCTCCAGCATGCAGTCACAAAGGAAGATAAAGTCAGAAAATCAGATGTCCAATAACCATAATGATATATTATCCAAATTTCACATGAAACTTTTTTTTACGTTTTTTTTTTTTTTTTTTTTCCCCTTACAAAGAGTAGGAATATATAATATGACATTCAAATAAAACAGAGTATACCATAAATTGATTTTGGTTTCAATTAGCTGAGTTTTTCATCTGAAAAGCATCATTATCCATAATAATATAAGATAGTTCTGCACACTGTTTCAGCTTGAATGAAATGGATCCCCTTTTCATTTTTGACTCTTGAATGGTTGAGTAAGGTGGCAGAATTTGTCTGTCTTTTCTAGCCTTGTACACAAAATGTGAGCACCAAAGACCAATGTTTATTTGGAGTAGAATATTGTGCATACTAGCTTTCTCTTGTTAGAATAGCAGGGAAGAAGAAGAAATAAATTCTAACCTTCCCCAAAGCTGCGAACTCCATTTTTTCTTAACTTTCTGATTTAATCCAGCTTATTACTTTGTTCACTCTATTATTATAATAAAAATTACAGTTTTAGTAAAAGATAACATCTCTACTTTACTCTTCCCTTGAAACTTCATCAATCAGCCAATGGATATTGGAATTTTGCAGGCACTGATATACAGATATAAATTACACTTCTTAAAATCAATACAATATTAAGACTGTTATAGAATTCTTGAAATATTTTAATACAAAATCTGTGTTGTATAGAGTATTGCAATGTCATGAGACATTAAGCCTACAGATAATGCTTCCACAGACAATATGGACATATGGCATCATAGACATATGCTAATGTTGGAAATTTTTTAAAGGCACCAGTTAAGTTGTTCTCACAAGCATGGCAATTATAAAATTTGCATAATGTAACTGAACAAGAAAATATTTCCCTTTATAATTTTTTTTTTGTGGGGGGAGGTGAAAGCCTCAACAACTTGCATTGGAAAAAACAAAATATTAACATAGAGCTTTCTTCCCTCCTTTTGTGTACATGTAAATGTTTTGTCTCTTTAAGATAATAAATGCTTTATTACTTCACAAGCTTTCATACTTTTAATTTTATAATTTTTACATGTAATCTTACTAGATTTAATTGATTATTTAAAATCCAGAAATTTCCTAAATCCAATATTGGAGAAATCTTGAAATTTTAATAAGGTCAGATCTTGTATTCTGCTAAACTTATTCTTATAAACCCAATTCTATATAATATCAGCAGAAATTAATACTTCAGACCAAGCAAAAATAAATACTATTTTATGCATGTAAATCCTTCTTTAAAAGTAAAAAAGCTATTCATACCATGTTTTCCCATTTTCTTAAAATATAAGGCCTTTTCAAAAGAACATATATATATATATATATATATATAGCAAAGTACACGAGGAAGAATATTCACCTCCAATTTTCGAAGGGAAACCCTTTCATATTTACATTATACATGGAGAAAACCTTGAAAGCACCCTAACAATCTGTTTGGCAGTATTCAAACATAGGTTACAAGTGTTCAGTAGCCCTATCCACTTGGCCATCTCAGATAAATGCGCAGATAAGAAATTTACAATTAGTTCGATATGAAATTTAACGTCAGAGCAAATTAATTTATATTAACTTGCATTTGTTTCAGGCAAGGATAAGAATACTGTAAATGATAGATGGAGTAACTTCTGCAAATATCAATCAGTACAATTAAATATGGTAAATCTATAGAATCCTGCCTCAAGACATTATATGACCATTCCCTATGATATTCTTTATATTAGGGATATATTGATATACTTTGTAAAATGTACTTGGAATGAGTAACATATATCCATTCTAATATAATTAAAAGCTTTTAATTTATTTTCTACCTCTTAAACTGGTAAAAACTTTAATATCATGTCAAGAAGGATATCTGGCACCAGTGACATTACAAAAGTTGGAGTATGGAACATACATTCTAGATCAATAAATTTATATTTAAATAAAATTAGCTCAATGTAAAATAATTTTGAGCCCTTAAAGGTATAACAAAAAGGTGGTTCATATCAAACCATACAGATAAAACATAATTTCTTTTTAAGAGGGGTACAAAGTTTAATAACATATGTTAAGATGGTTGGTATATTTGCATTATAAATAATTGAATTCTATGTTACACTTTTATTCAATTCATATAAAAATATTTATATTTAGTGAAACATAACTTTCCATAAGCACACAAAACTGTAAAACATGAAAATTCTAATATAACTCATAATAAATTTGATACACTCATAATAAATCTTTCAAATGAAAAGAAAATCATATTAAGACAATCTTCAGAAGCAGAGAAGTTTTTTGCAATACGGAATTGAATATATAGATATCTAAGATATGCCTTCTGTCTTTTAAGTTTAAAAGATGAATACATCAATACCTTGTTTTATATATATAACAAAAAACTGCAACCAAAATACAGCAAACTACACTTTTGGGCAGTAAATATTAAAATAGATAAATACATTTCCTACAATTAGAGCATATTTGAATTTTTATTTCTAGTTTACTTAATTTCACTTTTTGATTACTTATAAAAGAATATATAATTCCTATCTATGAAGCTATGTAACTTAAATCTGTTTTATTAAGAACAAACCATGTTTTTAGGAAAAAGCCCAGCAGGGTTTGCTCAATATATGTAGTGCAAATACAAATATAATATTTTAATACAGCATAATAGATAGCAACAAAGCTCCAGCACAGAGCTGGTTTGATGAAAAGTAAATGTTTTAACATCTTAAACCATATTACCAGTAGCAAGCCTTTATCTTGCTTGTTTTCAAACACAATTTAAAAATAGAATTCATAGGAAGTTCAGACAAAAAATTTGTGCAAATTGACAAAAATAATAAAACAGTAATTTAGAACTAAATTATTTGAATATAGTATTGATAAATTTTTAAGTTTCTTATAGTGAAAACAAAATTTTGAGAATATTAAAAAAAAAAAAAAAAAAAAAAAAAAACTACAAGTTGTTAGGCACAAAATAAGATACAGACAGCACTGACTCATACCTGAATATAAGATAAAAATACAATATTTAGCTATAAAAATTTATATTTAAAACTTAATCTGTAATTAAATAATATCCAGGTAACTTGATATTATTATTAAGAATTTTCATAATAAATTTGAAAATATATCAAAAACAAAATATAATTTTGCAATGTCTTAAGAATGTTGCAAAAGTTTTTATTCTAGAATCCTTTACCGCAGTAAATGATTTAATTTTAAATAAACCATTCAACAAAAATATCTTAAAAGTAAGACTTCTATTTTCTTTTTAAATAAAATATACTCTTAACAATAGCAATTTTACAATGCAAGTGACAAAAATTTAGTTTCAAATAAATAAGTTTACCATGCCCGATGCTATATCTCTTGCGAAACTGACTCTTTGTGCCCATGGCAATGTTTGGGAAAGATCATGAATAATTTCCTTCAGTGTACCTCCACTAATATATTCTGTGACTAGGTGTAATTTTTTATCTTTGTACAAAACACCTATAAAATGAAGGACATTTTCATGACAGAGAGAACGAAGTACAGCCACTTCCTTCAAGAAATTTTTTTGAGCTTCTTCATCAACACGATACAATTCTTTCATTACCATCACTTCTCCTGTTTCTCTGTGTGTAACCTAATTGAGGAAATAACCACATAATTAATTTTGTTTGTTAAAATGCTTTCATGATTATGTTCTGAAATAGTTTTTACTATAGGTTAAGAACTAATACAGTGCAATAAACATACCTGAAACACCTGGCCAAAAAATCCTTTTCCTAAAAGTTTTCCTTGGACTAGATCTGAGGCACGGAATATCCTATGATTTTTTGGCTCCACACGAAAAGATTTTGTCCGACTCAAGTCATAGGAATTTTTATTTGAAGATGATGAATCACTGAAATAGAAATTACATCATTAAATGCCAATTTACAATAAACACAGATACAGTGCTTCAGAAATAATATATTACTATACTAAAAATACATTGTGAGATTTTAACTTATCAAGGTCTTAATTAAATGATTTAAAACATAATTATATTCATAATAGTTAAAGAAAGCACTATCATTTATTAACTGATACAAATGAAAAAAAAAACTAATTTGAATGGATAATTTTATACCTATTTTTTTTTTTTTTCATATTTTCATTCCTTAAAATTTTAGAAGTACTTTCTAAAGACTAACACTTAAAATTATTGAAACATACTGATGGGAAAGAAAATAAATTTAAAAATCCTTCCTTGTTATGAAAGTTAGACTTATAGAAAAAGAAAGAAAAAAAAAATTAAAATTCAGACTTCTGCTTTCATTTAAAGTTATATCAACTACCATTACAAAATGGCAAACATGTGTAATGAATCATAGCAAAAACATTTTAAAATGACAAATAGCTTTATATGGATAGAAAATGAATTAATAGTTTTTTTTATATTAATGGAAAATTGTAATGGAATGATTTATCAAAGCAAAGAAAACAAGGTATCAATGAACAAATTTAAACATACCATGCAAGAAACCTAGGCAATGAAGAAGATCTTTCTTTGCTTCCTTTGCCTCTTTTTAGTTGCCGTGACCTACCATCTCTTTTTTTGTACAGTCTTTCTTTTGACACTTGCTGGTGAGAATATGGAATGACTTGATGTTTAGGTATGGCATTAGGATCATGCTCAATGGTAAGCTGCAAGGGCTTGTTAGCAGTTTTAATCATTTCTTCAATCTGAAACAAACAAATGAACAGTTTATAATTTATGTTTATAATTTATGTTTTTTATAATTTATGTTTTCTAATGTAAAATGAAATTTTAATCTATTAGAAAAGAAATTTGAATATTAACCCATTAGCCGCTGGTGTTGCGTTGATGCAATGGTAAAAATAAATGCATATATAAATATAACTACCTAAAATACTTTATACCAGCAGATGATTTTGTGTAGGGAAGATTATTTCTGTAAAAAAATATTTGCCTTCAACAATCATTTTGTTTATAATAATTAATCTCATACTTTAAGCAAAATTTTCGACCGGGTATTTTTGCCAAACATATTTAACGAAAGAATCGCCGTCTTTATGAGTGATCTATTTTTAGTTAAGGTCACTGTTTATCAGAATATTAAATCAATCAGATGTTTATATTTGTGTTGGGAAGAAAGAGGAAACAGGTGTTGTGCTGACGCAACGTCAGCAGGAAACGGGCAACGTCCTTTTTTAGTCCTTCCTTTCGATGTTCTGGTTCATGTTCTGGCTGCTTTAAAAATGTCAAGAACAAGGTATCTTACATTAGAAAAAAAAACCCTTCAAGGATTTTTTAATGAAGAAACATATGATGATAATGTTAATAATGACCAGAATGAAACTGATATTGTTATTGTTCCCCCAGAAATTGCAGAACCTAGTGATGAAGAAGGGAATGACAGCATTTTAAATAATGTTATATTACCAAATGATACTGCTGGGGAAGTTGAAATTCATGTAAGAAGCAAGTTTCAGCCTTCTAAAAGCAGTGCTAGTCACACGAAAAAGTTTAAAAAGCAGAAAACTGATAACTTGAAATGGATAAAAAAGGAACCGTCAGTTATGTCTCAGGAAGAAAATGAAGAAAGAGATAGAAGAGAAACTATAATAGACAAAATACAAGGTAAAACTTGTGAAGAGATTTTCGATTTTCTTTTTGGTTCAGACATTTACTCTCTTCTTGTTGAGCAGACAAATATATATGCTCAGAAGAAAAAAAAAAAAAAAAAAAAAAAAAAAAACACGTCCAGAATTTATTTTATCTGAAGCCTACATGAGAAGATTTATTGGAATATTATTGCTTATGGGATATCATTCGTTACCTCAAGAAATGTATTGGTCTCTTGATAAGGACATTTCTGTTCCTATTGTATGAGAATCGATGTCACGTTTGCAGTACAGGAATATGAAGCAGAATTTGCATTTAGCTGACAATAGTCAAACTGACAATACTGATAAATAAGTTAAGTCTGTATCTAAACTTACTAAATAAGGAATTCCAACAATTTTGATATATTTTCTCACGATTTTAGTCTTGACGAGCAAATGATTCCTTATCGAGGCAAACATTCAGCAAAGATGTTTTTAAAAGGGAAACCTATAAGATTTGGATACAAAAGCATGGACTCTGGTGTTCATCTGATGGATATGTGTTTCATTTCGATATTTATTCAGATAAGTTGAAAGCTCCAAAATTACCAGAATATGAAGAATTTGGCCTTGGAGGAAGTGTGGTGATAAATTTTCTCAGTGTTGTTGAAACTACCACCAATCATGCTATTTATTTTGATAACTTTTTCATATCATTTCAGCCTCTCTGTCATCTAAAAAATAAAGGTTTCAGTGCTACAGGAACAATTCAGGAAAACCGCATACAAATATGCCCACTAGAAACTGTCCGTAAGAAAGATAGGAGTTATTGTAATTCCCAGTATCAAGAGAAAAACAAAATAATTTTTGTCCGATGGAACAACAATTCGGTTGTAACTGTTGGTTCAATCATTTTGTATATTTGGAAACATTTAGCCCATAAAAAAATGTTTCCCATTATTCAAAAACGCAAAGGAAAAAGGTTTTTATATCTGAGCCTCATCTTATTGAATAATACAGTGCCCAAATGGGTGGAGTCGATTTATGTGACAATTTAGTAGCCAATTACAGAATAAGGGTTCGTGGCAAAAAATGGTGATGGCCAATATTTACTAATTACATTAATGTAGCCTTTATAAACGCATGGAAAATATCACAACTTTCTACTACTGGAAATAAAAAGTCTCTTTTAGATTTCAGGCGTGAGATTGTGTTATTCCTTTTGCAAACTCCTATTGAGAGTGTAGAATTAGCCAGAAATAGATCAGCAACAGGAAGACCTAGTAAATTCAGCATTAAAAAACTACTGCATGGAGATGGTAGACATTTTATTGTAAAGTCCGATGATAACAAAAGACTTTGTTGTAAAGTGTGCCATAGCCAGATTGTTTATAAATGCAAAGTATGTAATGTAGCTTTACATCATGATTGTAGCGAAGCTTTTCATGCTTGAATCTTTCAATTGAAATAATCTGTATTTGCAAAAGAAATATAATGTATATTTTAAGATTAAATTAATTACAAGTAAAGTCATTTGTATATTTATAAAACGTTATACAGCTAAAAAGTAATCCAGTGCTTCACTCAAAGGAAACATCATACGAGTACAATCTTGCTCACTAAACATTCGTAGTCTTATTCCGCTGATGTTGCGCGAACACAACACTCGCTTTTCCCACAGGTAAGAGCATTATTTTTATTTTCAATGTAAATCTATCTTATAAATGCTTGATTTAATATTTGTTATTATTTTCATGAGAAAATAATCATTCCTTGTAGTTTTGGCGGTTAATGGGTTAAGAGTTACCAAAGTACAGGGTTTGTTTGCATATTTTAAAAATATGTTGATATCAAAATTTACAGTTTTCTAAAGAGAAATACATTGCAATTAGAAAGTGCTGTAAAGACCACAGAATTAACATTTCTAAAGTAAAATGAGCAGTATTATTCTTATTAAAAACTCCCAACCATTGTCTTTCATAGCAGATGTACAAAACAAGTCTAAATATCCCTTTATCTATACGTAGATTCTAGTATCAACCAACAAACTTACAAAAAGAAGATTAATTGAGCACAAAGTTCATTCTGTTATAAAACACCATGAGGGAAATTTTCAAATAAAATATCTATAGCACAGTAACAGTTTCTAAGCCACTTTGTAACAGATGTGAATATAAAACTTTATCTACAGCACACACATCCTGGCTGCCTGAAATGGGGAAAGATGTCATTAGTTTAGATTATTTATCTTCCACATACAGTACATTCCTATAACAGGAAATGGCATATGCCTCCATGGCTTTATTTCTAAAATTAGGGGTACAAGAGCAATATGGATGGCTGCCAGGAAGGATGGAAAAAATAAATAAATAAAATAAGTTAAAACAAAAAACATTCTTTAGCCAGTATAACAGTAAAAAATGATAAAGCAATTAAAGCAGCACTAATGAGACTGGAAAGAATGCTAAAAACAGTATGGCAAAACAGAAGGAAATTTTAATGAAAAAATGTAGCTTTCAGAACAAAGACAGAAAAGTCCAACACTTTCTGACTGGAATGCTCCACCAATATAATTCTAGCTGTCAAGCAAAATGCAGGACTAGAAAAAATTTCTCTTGAATCTGACCTGATAACAATGTGAGAACAAATTGCAAGGTTTTGTACAAGTAACAATTTGTGTCCCCTGCATTTAGTTACATTGTTCAAAAAGTGTGTATGTGCTCTGCAGTAAGAAGTCACTAGTGTTGGAGGTGCATGACCAGTGTGACCCCTTTTAGTACTTTTGCGAATGAAAAATTTATCTACTCTCATAAATTGACTGCACATCCTGGAGAGTAAGCCTTTGACATGTAGGTAGGGGCTTTCTTCTCCTTAAAAATCTCAACCTCTGTCAAAGTGCTTGCTCCCCATGAAAAGACAGGCATTTAGAAGTTAAAATTTATTTTTAAGGAATATTTATAAATTAAAATAAAATTTATTTGTTGAAAATGCAGAGGAGAGGAGAAGGGGAAAAAAGTTCAAAAATTAATGGTAGTATAGAAACACCATATTATAAAAATGATATATAAAAGAAGCTCTGAAGCCCTTTATTCAGAGTTCAGGCTAGAATTAATGCAAAACAGACTGCAGCACAATTTCAGCTCTGTATGTCTGGAAGCCACCTACAAAACTGCACGATTTAGGTTGCTTCATACCACCTATATACATGAAGAGGATTCCTCATTATTTGTATACCAATCTCAAGGCCTCCTGGGCTTACTGTAGTTCTAAAAGAAAAAGTAACTGCAAAGGAGTGCACTGAAATTTTAACTGATTAAATCTATTCTATAACATAAAAATTATTTTCTGTAGGAAATGGCATTTTCTCCTGGACATCGCATTCCACCAAACTCATTATCAAGCCACTGTAGACTGTTTTAAAGAATAAAGTTATGAACTGGTAACCACCACCAATGTCTTTAGAGAAATCTGCCCAGTTTCTCAATGAAGAATAATACAATATTCCCTTAGTCACCAATTGACAGAACTGCATGCTAAAGATGGTTTCAATCTTCATTAATAAAAAATTTCTTCTAATGTGTATGTAAACAAATTCTCCTGTATATGCAAATAAATTCTGTGGGTTGAATGAGCTGTTTTACCTTTTTTCATACCATACGTATGCATTTCATTAAATAACTTACTTCAAAAAAAAATTTAAGATATTTTTCAATCATTAAAAAATTACAAAATGTACAACAGGGAATATAGTTTTTTCTTCTACTAATAAAAATAAAATAAGCCTCATAAATATCAATATGCTGCTTATTTAGGACACATTGACACATGCTATTGGAAAATAAATAAATAAATAAAATAAGGAGGTTTTAGGTATTCTTTAATATATCACAGCAATATGACATTACTCTGAGAACATAAGGGAAGGCAAAAGTGAAATCTCTTGAATTTACTATGGATGAAAATAATAATTCCAACACGAATCTGATATAATTATGATGACTACTGGCAATTCTGAAAATTGATTTTTTAATATGTATGTGTGTATGTAAATGCTAGCTTTTTCTAATAATATGAAGTGAAAATACTTAATGTAAAATATGTTTTTAATGTAAAAT